GCAGCCGCCATCCCAGAGCGAGCCAAAGATCACAGCGGATGGGAAAATACGGGAAATAAATAGGGGAAGCAGGGAATGTGTTGGCGAGAGCCCGGGATCGGGCGGTGCACACAAAAAATGGCTTTCCTTTGCAAATTCCCCCCAAAAAATCACCCAGAGGGAAGCCGGCAGGGTTCGGGGTGGCTGAGCCGGTGCCGGGGGCTTCCCCGCAGGGTGCAACGTGGAGAACGCCTGCTACAGCCTGGGGGTGTGCGCCGAGCGCACCGCCATCCAGAAAGCCATCTCGGAGGGGCACACCAGCTTCAGGGCCATGGCTATCGCCAGGTAAGGGCGCGCCGAGAGCCGGCACGGCGAGGGAAGGGCCGGGGGGCCAGCGGGAAAACCCCCGGTGCGCCCAAGGGGCAGCTTCTGCTGCAGCAGCCCGAGCATTTTTGTGGGGGGAGGCAGGTTTTTGCATAGTTTTTTGGAGGAATTGGGGGGAAAATCTGCTTTGGCTCCGTGTTTATTGGTGCATGAAGGTCTTCTGCAGGTGTTCCCCCCGCCTGCGACCGCAAGACTGAGCTCTGTGCCCTTCTCCTTTGGCAGCGACATGGGGGACCACTTCATCGTGCCCTGCGGCGCCTGCAGACAAGTGATGAGAGAGGTGATGGCTCGCGTGGGGGCCCCGCGTGTCCTGACCCCAGGCATCATCTCCTGACCCCAGGCATCTCCCCCCAAAACACCCGGAGGTGCAAAGGGGGGGTTGCAACCCCCCCGTCCCAAGCCCCAGGGCCAGCTCCAGGCTCCTCAAATTGTACTATCCGCTGGGAAAAGGGTATTCCTCCCCGTCCCACGGGAGCGGGTGCCCGGTGGTAATTCATTAACTCGCCCTCCCCAGCGGGTTTTATTCCTCCCAGGAGCTGCTGGGTGCAGAGTTCGGCCCCGGAGCCGTCGCCCCGGCTCTGCCAACCCTGAAAACAGGGTTTTTCATGCAAACGCCGAGCTCCCTGCTCTTACCTCCCTCC